TCACCCATGGCCATACGAGAAACTGACTTGTTTAACAAATTTGGTATGAAAAATTATGTGTCTTCACCAACACGTGCCACCACCCTTACTAGGCCTTGACAGATTATGCTAATATTTTCGTGAAATTATGCTTTTCGCATTGCTGAAAAAATTGCAGAATTATGCTATTTTTTATGCTAAAAGTTATCATATTATGCCGCATTATGCTCACATAAGCTGCTAAGGGGTCGTCCGTAATTTTCGAAAAATTAAAAAATCCGTCCTCGTGCAAAATTGTCTCTGACCCACCCACCCACCCCCCATTTTTTCCCATTAATTTTTGATTTTTACCGATGCCCAGCTCGAAAATAAGAACTCCTGACCCCATGTTGATTGACTGCACCTGTGTCAAGTACTAGTAGCTAAGTACAGTGAGTAGTAGGTCTACCGATGTCACGGCCATGCACCGTCCTACAACTACCTGTACATGAAAAGTCATCATAGTAGTAGATACTGGTGTTTGCGACAATCGATCCTACACTACGTCTACAGTACAGTACACAGTCAGCTATAATCAGTGCAACAAGTGTACATGACTGTATGAAAGTCACTGGAGCAAAAAAAAAAAAAAGTACTAAGGCCGAGTAAAAAAAATTACTAGATGATCGTCCTTTTTTTTGGAAAAATCGGGGAGGGCGGGAGGATTTTATTTTTATTTTTTTACTTTTTACCCTCTCATGCACACAGTGTACACAACAACATCAAGGTTTTTTTTCTCTTTTTTTCTTTTTTTTTCTTTTTTTCTTTTTCTTTCTTCAGCAGATCGATACTGACGTTGTGATATACTAGTAGTATGTGGTCCATATAGTAAAACTCACGATTTAAAAAATAAAATATTTCTTGGGGCGCTGACAAAAACTGGGGCGGACGGGGACGATCATCTAGCTTTTTTTTTTACTTGGCCTAAAAATCAAAAAATTAAATTCCGCCAACACTCTTGACCACCCACCCCCTTTTTGCCTAAGGACGGATTTTTTAATTTTTCGAAAAATACGGACGACCCCTAATGTATAATGGTTCTGTGCAAAATAACAGGGGGATTTTTTTTGTAGAGGGCGTTGTACTGTAGTAGCAAAAGTTCAACGGGGTCAACGCACCGTCCGACCTAGCTACGACCGTCACTAATTGTAGTGGACTGGACATGTTCTCAAGGGAGTCGTAAACCTACGACTTCCTGGTGCATCTACTTGTACTTGTACTTGTAGAACATGAACAACTGTATGGAATTTGATGCGAACAGGCGGATTATTCCAATTTTATGCGATTCGTATGCAATTTGCCTCGAATTATGCGATTATTCGATTTTGGTAGGAATTATGCGAAAAAATATGCTAGCATAATCTGTCAAGGCCTAACCCTTACTGAGTCAATCATTGATCTCTTCCTATCAACTTCCCCGCTGACGGGACCTTGTGAGATAGCCTACCTAGACATTAGTGACCACTTTGCAGTACTTGGGAATCTCTCTGTGGCAGGGTTTGCACCAGGCCGTACTTCCAGCTACAGACCTACACGCCGCATCCATAAGATAAACTGGGACACCTTCAACAGCGATCTCAGTGCAGAGCAGGCCTCTCTGCTCGCCATAGATGATGTCAACACCCTTGCATCATCTTTCATCGCCTCCATAGTGTCAACATTGGATAAGCATGCACCCGTGCGGATGAGGTGAAATCGGGATAGACGTCCCTGCCCGTGGGTAACAGAT